CAACCATAACTTTTTCTTCTCACATTTAAGCTGAACCGCGCCCTCGCGGGTTTTAAAGTGATTAGAAACTAGAGTTATGGTGGAAAAACTCACATGCAAATACTAAGTTGTCCTCACACTTAAAGTTAGACCAAATGCTTATGTAAATAAAACTAAATTAAGATAAAAATTGTTTACAAAAAGTAAGTTCAAAACAAACTGAAGTTCAAACCAATCTTGAATCAAACAATCAAAATGGTAGAAGCATATTAGTTCAAAAAGGATGGCTCACTGCCCACGACCACATATTTGCCTTGGCCGCCTAGTGGAGTCACGAGCTCCATGTTGCCCCTCCAGGAAATCGAGAATCTTGTTAGCCTTAGTTTGCTAAGCCTCGTGTTTTGATGTTAACATACAATATAAGAGCTTAACGTTTGTTTAAGTGTTTCAGGTACAACATGAATCCATTAAGATTCGGTTCTCAAGAATGAAGTCGTAACACTAAACTAGCGCAGAATATAGAAAGAAATTGATGTAAGGATATGATTTTATATATCTATATTCACAAGCTCAAAAAACACTCACAAAATATGTTTAAAACCCTTTTATAATCATTTTCAAACATCCAAAAGGTTTTAAACAAAATTGGAAACAATTTGGACAAAAATGAAAAAATTGTCAAAATGGTCACTGGGTACCTAGGTACCGTGAGTAGGTACCGTGAGGGGTACCGTAAGGGGTACCGTGAGTCAATCTGAGAAGGTACCCCCTACCATCAGCCCGGGACTCCCGTACCGTCAGGACGGGACCCCCTACCAGAAGGGGTACCGTAAGAGGACAGGTACTGCTAGAGAGTTTTGGCCTGAGAACGTACCTAGCTACCGTGACAGGGTACCGTAACCATTGGAACACTATTCCTGATTGCTAATTTTTAAATTAATTCAACCTTAATCACCTCCCAACGGCTAATTAACATCTTCCACTATAAATATAGGCCTAGTATTTCATATTTTACTAAGAAATAAAGCTCTAAACATCCTCCCTTTATATTCTAAGTGTGTTCATTCTTTTATTCATTATTTTCAATATTTTGGCTATTTCAAGAGCCTTAAATTCCGAATTTTTATGCACACACTTTGAGCTTGTGTTTCTAGTTATATACTTTCATATTCATAAGTTTGTATTTTATTTTTGAGAGAGTATAATAACCTTCTACAACGGCTAAGTTTTGTTCTTCATTTTTAAATTCTAGCCGTTGTGTAGAATCCTCTTTTGTGTTCTTCAAACACACATTGTTACGGTGGAGAATAGTCGTTAAATCTCACGTTGTAAGGGTTAAAGATAGCCGTATAAATCCTTGGGTAAAGGTTCAAGGATAGCCTTTGAAATCCTTTGGGGAACGGTAGAAGATAGCCGTTAAATCTTCATTGTAAACTGTTCCAAGCAATTTCTTGCTTGTGCCTTCAGAGAACGGTTAATAGTTTGGCCTTTTCTTCCACAGTCAACTCAGATGTGATGACGACTGGGCACTTGCCCTCGTCATCTCAAAATGCATACTCTAGATGTTTAGGAAGTGGCTTCAATTCAAGGTTGTCAGATCCCTTAGATTGATCATTTTTTGTTTCCACTTCCCAAGCATCCTCACACTTGTCTTTTTCATTCTCTTCCTCTTTTAGAATTGCCTCTAGTTCGAGAAGTGTCTTGACAGATCCTTTGTGTTTTAGGATTTTAAGAGAGTGACAAAATTTGGTAGAGTCAGAAGAATTATTCATCAAGTGCGTCAGTTTGAAGGTACATTCATCCCTTCCAACTGTTAAAGTCAAATCCCCTTCATGAACATTAATCAGGGCCTTAGCGGTTGCTAGAAACGGCCGACCCAAGATTAGAGGCATTTCAGAATCCTCTTTCATATCGAGAATCACGAAATTAGAGGGAATGTGATCTTTTCAACCTTTACGTATATATCTTCAACTATTCCTTAAGGGTAATGAACAGAACTATCCGCTAGTTGAACACACATGCCTAAAGATTTAAGTTCATAAATTCTCAAGTGTTCCATGATTGGTGTGGGCATTAGATTAATGCTCGTTCCTAAATCTACAAGAGCGTGTTTAAAGTGCATGTTTTTACTCGAACAAGGGATAGAAAATTTACCTGGATCTTTGCACTTCTCAAGTAGATGTTGGAGTAACAACGCGGAACAACTCACATTCAGATTGATCATTGGAACCTCTTCCTAGTCCTTCTTATGCGTGACCAAGTCTATAATAAACTTGGCATACTTCGGCATCTCAGTTAAGACATCGACCAGGGGCAGCTTGACTTGAACTTGGCCCATGATGTCTAGAAATTTCTTGAAGGCTTTATCATCATTGTTCTTCATTATCCTTGATGAAAGGGTATTGTAACCTTCTTTGTCAGGAGATTACGGTTTGGATGGTGGGACTGTGAAGGTTTCTTGGCCTTCCCTTTTTCTTTCTTATTCTCTTCTTCTTTCTAGCTGATTGACTGACTAAGCCTCGACTCTTTCAAAGGTGGATTCGGATTTCTACCCTAGACCTTGGATTTCTTTCCCACTTCGGAGAGTAACAACTTTGAGATGTTCTCGTGGGTTGGTTTCTGTTTTTGCAGGCAACATTCTAGGAGGTCATGTCGTCATTTGTTCCATGAGTTGGCAAAACAATTATTGATTAGCCTTCTAGCTCTCGCATAGTGATTCCTCCAACCTTTGGAGTTTTCCTCGTTCTTCTTGTCTTTCTCTTCCATCATCCTCTTCAATTCTGCATTGGAATCCTCGGTTTGCCTTTGGTGTGGGGGAACATATGGTTGATTATTTCCCCCTTGGTTGTTGAAGCCGGTCCCACGCTGGTTGTTTAAGTTGTTGTCGTTGGTGTTGTTCTAGCCCCCTTGATTGTAATCATCCCTCAGACGATTATTTCATTGGAAATTATTGTTGTTGCACTCCCTCAAAGGATCATCGCGCCAATGGACTGGCGGGTACTGATTGGGGGCCCACGATCCTTCCCCTTTATTGGTGTATTGCACTAGGTTCACTTCATTAGGCTATTCCTTCATTAGGCTTTCGTTGTAAGGGTACTAGGATGTCAGATGTGCACATATACAAGATTCACATGACAGGACCAGTTCATTTTGGTGTGAACTAGATCCCCCTTGGTAGTAAGCATCGGCCTGAGCAATTGATCCGTGATGTTTGTTGGGCGAGAACCTACACTGAGCTGATCTTAGGTGGTCCGTTTGATCAAACTTTCCATAATAAAAAATTACTAACGTGATCCTTTATAATTGAGATGTCTTTCCTAAATAGCCTTATAAAAATGTCTATTAAATGACAGTTAAATAAATGATATTTTGATACTCTTTATTATCTAAACTAACAATAAGTTTTCAATTGATCAACTCTTTCAAAATGCTTTTTTTAAACTAGTGGGATTAGTTTATCAATTGATAACTGTTATCACCAAATGTAGGAAGCAGACGAGTAGTGCATCCACCGCTCTGCACGAGATTGCTTAGATAGACCAGGGGTGGGCATTTGCCATTACTGAGAATAATTTTCAAAGATTAAAGACTATTTATAGAATATTATATAATTAGAGACTAAATATAAAAAAGTGTAAATTCTCAAAATTGTCCTTTGTAATAAGGTGTTTTCCCAATTCAGTCTTCAATAAGTTTTAATTACGTATATGGTCCTCTATAATTGAAATTTATTCCCAAGATAGTCCTTTGTAAATAACGTTACTCAAATGATGATTAATTGGGAGATATTTTTGTATTTTGATCATCCAAATTTAAAGTATATTTTTTCGAAAAAGTCATTTCTGTACAACTAAATGTAAAATTTAAAAAATACATTGACTATAAATAATTAATGGATTATGGATTATTTAAAACATATAAAAATCTTTTAAATTTCAAACCAAATACACATCTGTAATTAGAAAAAACCATTTTGGGAAAGCACTTCATTATAAATGATTATTTTAAGAATTAAATGTAAATTTAGCGGATAAAAAAAATACCAAAATACCCTCAATTAATCCTTATTTGAGTAACATTATTTACGAAGGACCATCTTGGGAATAAATTTCAATTATAGAGGACCACGTAAGTAATTAAAACTTATTGATGACTGATTTGGGAAAACACCTCATTACAAAGGACTATTTTAAAAATTTACTCTATTAAAAATTATAGAGTAAATTCCATAAAAGGTCCCTAGTTATAGGTTCTTTACATATTTAGTCCCTATATATCAAATATCAATAATTTAGTCCCCAATTATTATATTGTTTTCCACAAATAGTCCTTTGTTAACATTTCCTTTAAGAAGATGGATAAAACTTTATATTCACTGTCTCTTCAATTAAATTTCCTCCATCCTCTCGTACTCATTCCAAACCCGTCTCTGAGTTTGAAGCTCTAAATCCAAAACCGAAATGATCATTCCTCTCTCAATTGTTCATCTTCCTGGTGGAACTCAAAATCGAACGCAATAACTTTCATGGATGAGTTTTATGGGTTAATTTCAGGAAATTGAAAAGAAAATAAACCTTAAAATTCATCCATGAAGGTTACTGGTTCGATTTTAGATTTCATCAAGAAGACGAATAATTGAGAGATGAGTGATGATTTTGGTTTTGAGTTCAAAGATTCAAACTCACCGACGGGTTCGAGAAAGGAGTGCGAGAGGAGGGAAGAATGCATGCTTTTAACGGAAATGCTAACAAAGGACCATTCGTAAAAAATAATATAATAATTGAGGATTAAAATATTGATATTAGATATGTAAGGACTAAATATGTAAAACGAAATATAACTGAGTAACTTTTACGGAGTATAAAACTTTCTCAAAATTATATATTAGAAACATGAATTTACTCAAAATAAAAAAATAAAAGAAAATAAGGAGTAATGGCAAACGCCCACCCCTGGTCCAAACGCCCACCCCGGAGTATAAGCGTTTTTTCCGATTCTCTGCTTTCCGATTTCCCAAATTAGATCCGTATCCTAGCCTAGCCTCAGCTATCTCTCTAATCTCTAATCCTCTATTGCTCATTTGGTCTATCACTCTATCAAACTCTCAGGCTCCCTCTCATCCATCGGCTCGTCCACTCTATCGATTGCAAGAGTTCCGGCAAACAAGAGCCACCGGCCCACCGCTGCAATTCCCGAATTCCAGACGGCGGTTCCTCTGCGAGTCTGCGCCAGAGTAGCTGCCACCCGACGGCAGTCCCTCTGCCGTAGCCCCACCTGCCGAAGCCCGTAAGCCCCTATTCCCAAACCTAATTTCATAATTTTTATCATTTAATTTCTTCTTTGATTTGAGTATGAAGTTTCAATTCTCAACTCTCAATTGTATAGTTTCAAATTGCATTCTCCACTCAGTGTTTGGATGATTTCATAGTTCAAACTTCAAACTTAAATCCATGTTTCCTGTAAGCAATTGGGTTTCCAATCGTGCGTAAGCAATTTCTTCTTCGATTCGAGTATGAAATCATCCAACCTAATTGGGTTTTATATTAGATTTATATTGGAATGAAAATCATCTAAGTGGAGGGCATATGTTAAAATTGTGAGCTTCAAGAAAGACCTGTGAAATGCAAATTTTTGAATAGTTTAGATTGAGAACTAAACATTTTTTGAATAATGAATACTTTCGGTGGTACAGCATTGTGTTCAGTGTTCACTTTATGAACGTGCTTTACTTTTTTGGATTTATTTCAATTTAAAGCAAGATTGTTGTTTTTTATTCACTTTATTATTATTTTTTGTGTGTGAATAAATATGTGCATATTATAAGACGTATTTTATATTTAGGAAACGTTTAATACACGTACGTATGCGTACACGTATTTTGTACGTTTGAAACATATAATAAGACGCATTTTATAAATTTTTAACGTATTATACACGTACGTACGTATTTCCGTATTATACTTTTGCCGTATATAACTAACTATGATCTGAGCAATCTTGTGCAGAGCGGTGTACGCACTACTCGTCTGCTTCCTACATTTAGCGATAACTGTTATCAATTAGTCAACTCTTTGATACCATTAAACGTTCATAGAAAAACATGATTTATCACAAAAGATGCAAGATTAAATACTTCATTTAATCTGACAGCACAAAGTTGAAGTTTGATTGATTATACGAGTTGGCATTTCATCTTCAGATCTATAGCTCAAGTGGCTATTAAATTGCATTTCCGCATAGGTGAAAATTGAAGAAATGATGCGGTTAAGAGCTTTCCGGCCTACAAATGATAAAATAGTGAAGATACATATGCACCCCACACATCCGTGGCTAGTTACAGCCGATGCATCGGATCACGTTTCCGTTTGGAATTGGGAACACCGCCAGGTTTTTACATTTTTGATTTAATGAATACATATGTGTTTATTTTGTATTGAATTTTGCATTGATTTTTTTTGATAACCAGGTGATTTATGAGCTTAAGGCTGGCGGTGTTGACGAGAGGCGTTTGGTTGGGGCAAAGCTCGAGAAGCTTGCTGAGGGTGATTCAGGTTGGATTTGCTTTCCAAATCTTATATAGTTAAATCACAGCTCTTCTATAGCTTCTATACTTTTTATTCAACTGTATATGTTCCTGATTTGGGGTTGATGGTATATATAATTATAATTTGAGTTAAGTCGCAAAGGAATTACTTCAAGTGAATATACTCGCATCACTAAAAATATGATCTAGCATACCTGGATTAGCACTGGAGTATAATTGCAACAAATTATGTTTGGTATGTCCATGGTATTTTTTACTATTTTAATGTGTAGAAGCTGGCAGTAGATGTTCATTGTGGATATTTTCCAGTCTAACCAAATGTGGACTTCTTTCGTACTTGGGATTTGTTTCATCTAAGATATGAATTACTTGGATCTTGGATGTTGATGCCTTTTGAATTCATGCTTGTGGCAGCTGGCCCATCATTTCCCCTAGTTTTTTGTTGTGGGAAGGATTAAAAACCCTGAGGATGGACAAATAAGGAATTTATTTGACCCTTTCTAATGATTCCATATAACAAGAATCTTATTTGAATCTTCAATGACTAGATAAACTAAATTTATGTACTTTCGGTAGAACAAAGCATTGACTATCACAATCAAATCATGTTAAGAGTTGTGGAAGGACATGGATAATTTGAACATTCGTTCCAATGACTTCCCCACATGAAGGTCTCTACTACTACGAAGGTCTGAGTTTCGAGTTACATCCCAATCAAGGTTAGCGGCTAGATACTTGAGATAGGTAAGAGTACACAAAAGATCTAATAGGATGCTTTCCCTTATAAAAAAATGAACTAAAACATCAAGCCGGTGTCTCTTGGAAACAACCTCTCTACTTTCAAGTAGAGGTAAGGTCTGCATACACACCCTCCCCAGGTGTGTACCTTCAATGACTAGATAAACAAAATTTATTTGACTCTTCAATGCCTAGATAAACTAAATTAATGTACTTTCAGTAGAACAAAGGGCTGTATACACACACCCTAGCTTTGTGGATTTTACTGGGTTTGCTGTTTTTTTAACTAAAATACTATCTATAGGTAATAACTACAAAGTATTAATTAATACATAAAAACAATCCTAAAGATTAAAGAACATCAAACTCTTGCCCCTTTGTTGTGTATCGACACCCTTCTTGGAGAGTATAACTTGTCCTCATTTTTATGTGCCCAAAGGGTCAATGGAATCACACCTGTTATGGCAACCGGTGTTTGAGATTTCAGCTCATGGTGTTGCTAATCTGTTGTGCCTTGAAAACAATTAGGTGCAATTGAATTGTTGGTCAGGTGTTGGCAACTCTATGTCATTGTTTAGCAATTGTGTGGTGTGGAGGTGTAAGACCAGGTGTTAGACCTTTTTCAGTCTGTTGACGGCTGAGGCAAGTTGGACAGCCTTTGCGCATTGCTTGTTACGTCAATGACATGTTCCAAACTCATCGCCACATCCATGTTGTTGTGGTGATGGTATTCTAAATCAAAAGAATGTGGCAGGAAGTCTGAATCCGCTTCTTCAATGTGCCTCGCCATGGTGTCAGCATGCCAAAAACTTCCTTTAGTGTTGTTGCCAAGTCATTACTCTACCCATTGTATTGGATGTGGATATGGAAATCAATGTTTGAAAGACAATAAATAAGGAAATGCATAAGTAATTGATATAACAGTCGTAAGTAATACTTCCCCATCCCAAACTAAAGTCCTGGTTAGGCAAATTTAAAGTGGTATCGACTTTTCAATTTTACCCATGATTTGAGTTTGATGAGTTGTAGTTAGAATAAGAGAGACTGTTTAATATGAGCTAGAAATAAAGGGGGTGGGTATAAAAAATGATTGAAAAAGGTAGGGTGGGTAGGTTGAAGTAAGGGAGTGTGAACAAGTTATTGAAAAGATAGAAAAAGGATTGAGAAGTAAGAGTATTGTAGTGTTCTGATGAGTTGATTATGCCAAAATAGGGAATGGGCCGAAGGGAGTATATAACAGTATGGTGGATGCCAATTCCCACACCCTTGGCAAAACAGTAGAGTTGGTGTTCCATTCTCTTGCCCAAGTGGGAATAATTTCCAGAAAGTCATGTATATCTTAATCGAGATTGCCGCTAAATGTACCACTAATAAGCAATACTCCGTATACTATTGATAAGAGTCCTTCCTAAGAAAGAACTCATGTTACGAATGTATTTAGGGGTTCACGAATGGAACAAGATATGCATAATTTTCTAGTATCTGTTCCCAATTTGGTTAACCATGTTGCACACCGCTACCTCGCCAAGGCCAAGCATTGATGTCCACCATAAACATCAAAATGACTTTTTCAAGTTCCTCCCCCCCACCCCCACATATTTTTGAAGACCTTGGGCAAGAGCGTGTACATGTAAATGATGTAATCTTTCAAAAACTTTTTGGTGATTCACAAGACTTGCCTCACAATGAAAGTGCTAAATCAAACAATTAATGGTTTACAAACTTTGATCATGATTTACAACAAAAACAACCTAGTTGGATCCCATGAGAGTAGGGACTTTGATTATGATTTGGGAAATAATAAAGATTATTTGACATATGTATCCAATGTCATGCTAGTCGTATTATGACATTGGTTCATTTGGGCACCTATAGTGCCCCGTTAGGCTTGAAAGTGGTTCTTACTCCCCTTTATCACACCCTAGCCCCATGCCCCTCCATTTTTTGCTTTTGGCTACAAATTTACTATTTCCAAACAACAAAATAAAGGGGGTTATGTGGGGTGCAAGGTAGTTTGGGTGGTGGGTATGGGGTAGGAACCCTCTATGGTCCAATAGAGCATTATATGTGCTCGTTTTCATATTATGACATTGAAGATCAATGTTAAAAAATCTTTGCCATTTGTGAAAAGACATATTTAGTGGTATTGTAAATTTAATATCATTGCATTCATTTTACGATGTAGTTTTGATATACTACCTACATCCCAAAGTATTCGTCAAGATTGACTTATTCGAGTCAAACTGGACAAATTTTAATCATCAATAAAATAAAATTTATACCATATATTAGTACAAAAATAATTTCATTAGGTTTATGTTGTGGAAAACTTGCAGAAATTTATTTCATTGTATTAAAATTTAACACAATTAATGTAATTGATTATTAAAGTTCGTCTTGTTTAACTGAAAAAGTCAAACTTAATGAATACCTTGGGACGGAGGGAGTATCAAATTAACAATATTTTAAAACAATTACCTATGTATGAATATAGTTATTAATGGTCAAAGTGTTGCTTTGATGACTGTTAAAAGTCAAATGCAAATATATAGCTCTATATTGCTATGGAGTTTGCCATTGATGCTATCACATATAATTTTTCTTTGTGTTTTCTTTCTTCCCTCTCTCTCTCTCCCTCTCTCTTGTTCTTGAGTGTTCTTCATTGATATCTTATCAAGATTGCGTGTGTGAGTGAGCTATCCTTACACAGAGTGGTGGATACTCATTCCTTTCAAAGCACATTAATATGTAAAATTTTCAGACATGCACATCTTTGCTATCCTTTTGTTCTAAAAGTATGCCATTGGTTTTTCAATAAAGTGACAAACTTTTTGGTTGAAATTGATGCGGAGAGAAACATTTTAAACCACATAAACATTTCCAAATAAAGAATCATGTACATCTTTTTTGGGACGGAATAAAAAGGAAAACAAAAGTGGGACTACTTTTCTTACAAGATTTTATATTCAATTTATTAATTATATAAAGATAAGATACAATACTCTTTCTATAAACCAAAAATTAATTCTTTATTTAACAATGACGAAGGGGGAAAATGTATAGCATATTTTAACTAATAGATATGTTGACATCAACTCAAAAAACAAAAAAAAGAAGATATTTGGACATAAATAGTGTAGTTTGAATAAGAACCAATGACAAGTAAGTAAATGTAGTAGAGACTACTTCCATTTGCTAATAATAGTTCTCATGATTCGTGAAATGTTGTGCCTGCTATATATATGGTTGGCATTTCCCCCCTTTCCATAAGACTCATAAAGTGATAAACCTTCTAGCTCAATTTATTTTATTTGTTTAAGATGATGGGAGCATGACAATATTTCACCTTGAGGCTGCTTTTAAAATGGTATAAGAATAAGATCTATATACTTCTGTTTTGATTTTGATCATATATTATTACTCTTTCTTCCACCATGCATATATCTGCTCACACATTGCGCACTGTTGCAACTAGTTTAAAGATATATTCTTGAAGATTTTTTGTAAGGTCTTTCTAGTATATTACATCTTGCCTACAATCTATTTAGGCCTAAAAATCATAAAACAGTGAACAAATAAGAGAAGATAAAACAAAAAAAAGTGTTCGATTCAGCACATAGCTGGGAAAATTTTGTGTCGCAGTACTCACAATTAAGAACATTTCTGCAGTAAAAGGATAACCTATTCTTGGAGCTATAAGTTCTATTTACAATTTATCAAAGTTAAAACTAGGAATAAATTATACTCCCTCTGCCCATTAATTTCTTTATCACTTTCCTTTTTGAGTCGTCCAAAAATTTCTTTCCCGTTTTCCTATTTTGGCGACAAAATTTTAATGAATGTGCCATTATACCCTCACTTTTTATCTACACTATTCACTTTATTCCATCACATCAAGGGTAAACATGGAAAGTCTTTACACTTTAACTTTTCTTAATCTCCGTGACAAGTCAAACCGGGAAAGAAATTTTTGGACGGAGGGAGTATTTTCTGATATTGCTGAGTATAGTTATTCAAGATACCCTTTTGATGGAGTAATTACATTTACTTCATGGTTCTCAGATTTTAAAAGTGGATTTTACATTCTATCATGCTGTCACAGATTCTGTTTAATATTCTTCTGTATTTGTGATTTGTATGGCAGATTCTAGAGGGAAACCAACAGAAGCCATGCGAGGTGGGAGGTAATAAATTTCCTGCACCCTCCTTCTAAGGGCATCAGAACTGCTCTTATGTAGTTTACTCTTAGGAGGCTGAGCCCATCCATTGCATGGTTGAAGTGTTAAGCAGGTTAGCTTTTATGATGACGATGTGCGCTTTTGGCAACTTTGGTGCAACCGTTCTGCTGCTGCTGAGGCTCCAACAGCTGTCAGTAATGTGACCTCTGGTTTTAGCTCTCCTGCCCCATCGACAAAAGGAAGACATTTTCTTGTAATATGCTGTGAGAACAAAGCCATATTCTTGGATTTGGTGACAATGCATGGCCGTGATGTACCCAAGCAGGACCTCGACAATAAATCACTTATGTGGCAAGTTTTATTCTTCTCTCTTTTAGGTTCTTGTTGAACTCGATAATCAACTATAATTTTGAAAAATGTGGCATCGTACATGAAAACAATCCGTCACTAGTGGTGCCGGTGTGTATACGTCTTCCAAAAAGTAATAATTGGAGTACTAGTTAAGGTTCTGTTACCATGGATATAGTGGATCTTTAGTGTATAACCCTAGTAAACATTGAACCATTATGTTAATTCTAGATAAGGAGTGAGATATTTTATTCCTTTGAAATGTATATAGCAATCTTTGCATTGATCCACTGTTCATTTTTGAGTTGTGATCTTCCCACCATTGTTTGTTACACCTAGAGAACAGTCGTCCAACTCTAACTATTGAAGCACATTTTCTTGTTTGTGTAGTCAAACTTTTTTTTAAATATATTTTTATCTGAAATTAGTATGCCCACTACGTTCAAATTGAAAGATCGTAGAAGCATACCAACAAAAAGATGTGGGAGCACATTATTACTAACAATATTACTCATTTCATATAGTACAAACTATAATAATGCTTATCTTGGTTTCGGATAATTTTATAGGTAAAATTCCTCCTTCCAAAACTATTGCGATGATTAAAACCTCACACTATTTACTCTCCCTCATTTCACTATCTGGTTAGATTCATTCCGGTAAAAAAATTATATTATCAATTTTAATGATTTTTAATAAAGCGTAATTGAATGCATTAAGAATTAAATTTGTGCTTTGACAAAAGTGAAAAAACTAGTGATGTGTTTATTTTGTAACATATGAAGTGTTATATATGTAGAAAGATGTCCTTACACCAGTTACATGTAACTTTATCTTGAAAAAGCTGCTTACCAACAGCCAGCTGCACGAACATTTTTCACAATAAGCCACACATCCATCTTGTCAAGACCGCTAAACCTATTAGCCATTCAAACTAGTTGACACAAACATTCAACATTAGACAACCAACTTCCAAATAGGGCCTAAATTTCTATGTTCTTTATGCATGCATGATGAGAACACTTCTGAAGGTCCACGCAGTGACACTATAAAATACATGAGATATCTAGGGACTTGGAAACTCCTCTTAATGATCTCCAGATATGGACACTTTTTCTTTCTTTTCACTTTAGCATTTACTAGTGGTAGCTAGAGAAGGGATATGCGACATTGAGTAGGTATTACTGGAGTGACCTATCTTATTTTTTTACACCATTACAGTATGGAGTTCCTCTCAAGATCAAGTGGTGGTGAAGGCCCTCTTGTGGCTTTTGGTGGTTCAGATGGTGTGATTAGAGTCCTCTCCATGTTAACATGGAAGGTTTGTATTTCCTCTCCCGTTTTTGGTTCTTAATGTACTCTTGATTTGTCAACGTTTCTCTTTGTTAGTGAGGTTTTTTCTCTAAGCCAAAGAGGATAGAAAAGATTTTGGGTTATGCTTGTCTCTTAGATTGCACGAAGATACACGGGTGGTCATAAGGGAGCAATATCTTGTATGATGACATTTGTGGCTGCATCTGGAGAGGTACTGTTCTAGTTTTTTTAATCACTAGGTAGAACTAATATTGTTTAGGGTCTTTTTTGTCAACATTAGCAGATATTGGAATTTCAAAGCAGACTCATGCTTTTGTTTCCTAAAATTTTGCCTCAATCTGTTAATTTTGCATCAAAGCAGTGAGCTGTGTTATGCAGCATAATTTTGAGACTTTCCAGTTATATGGGAAGCTGGTATAAGCTGGTATGCTTGGGTGTGGGGGAGGGGGATTCTGCCATTTGTGTTTGTTGCCTTCATGGCACTAGTTCTATTATTATATTTCTATCAAGATTTAGATGACCTGTTATTTCTTCATATTGCTTGTCCTGTAGTCTCAATGTGAGTATTGGCTCATGTGGCATGAACCTATTATGTAGCACGAGTGAAATCATGAAGTGAAATTGTTTGTTTTCACCTTTTTTGTCTCATCCATCTTTCTGTCTTCCCTATGAAATGGCTATATAGCATTGCATTTCTGGCTTGTGACATCTTTTGTATCTTTATGTCTTTTATATAGGCACTTTTGGTTTCTGGTGGTAGTGATGGTTTACTGGTTCTTTGGAGTGCAGACCATGCTCATGATCATCGAGAGCTTGTACCTAAGCTGAGTTTGAAGGTACCTGCTTTACACTTCCTCTTTAGCATCTTTTAAGGACAAGTAAAGCCACACTTTTTTACTGTCTTTACGGACAAGTCCAGCCTCTATTTTAGTATCTCTAAGACAATCCAAACCACCTTTTTTGGTACAATATGTTGTAGAAATATAATACAAGCCATGCACTCAACTACACATGTACAAGTCAAGCCACCCTTTGTTCGCACACTGTTGTTGGTAATAATATTAAGATTTTAGTTATGTGGCTTATGTCTTGAGACTATGGCAGGCTCTGATTTGGGCATTAATATGGGTGATTTAGGCATTAATGTGGTGAATTAGTTTCCTTATGTTAGCACCCTTGTTATTTATATATAGTCATTTCTTTATGTAATTATGTATAATTAACTAAACCTCTGATTATCAATTACATGGTATCAGAACCAGTGTCCTCTAGGGTCTAGGGTTAGGGTTCATTATTTATAGAAAAGGCTGCAGCCATTTTGACACTGCCTCTAGGGGTGCTCACGTGACGTCACTGACACCCTGGGTGGAGTCGCACGTTGCAGGAGAACAATTATGGAGAATCTCTCCTCCGCCGGAGACCTCGCGCCCCGCCTCTGCTGGTCAGAATCACCGTCAAAAACCACTGTCAGGGTTGCCAGATTCATCTAAGCACCTGGTTAGACTCAGTTTGGACATCCAATGGCCGATTTTGCTCTGTCTTTCTCTGCTGTTCAGGTTTTGTTCAAATTTTAGTTCATTGAAAGGGGTGATAAGTCAAGTGTCATCACTGAAGTTTTCCCAGTCCAGTAAAAAATCACTGAGAGGGAACTTAATTCCTCTAATTATCTTGAAGATGTCACGACTATTAAACTATATCTCCAAAATACCAACAAGGACGATCATATGAACGATGATCCTCCTAAGGATGCAACTACTAAGAAAGTCTGGTTGAGGGATGATGCTTGACTAATTTGATCATTCTGTCTTTTATAAGCAAATTCAGCGAGCGGTTTGGAATGGTGAAAGGACATTTTGATCATTCTGTCTTTTATTAGCAATCTGATGGTGGAATCATCTTATTGGTTGCTAATGTAGATGACATCATTATTACAAGAAGTGATTTTGCAGGCATTTCCTCGTCCAGTGTTGGCTAGACGAGGAAGAACTTTGAATCCTGTAGTTCATGACTAATTAGGAAGAATGGTTAAATTGCTTCAATGATGATCTTTTTAATGAATATAAGCCCTCTATTTATACTACTCTCAAGAGTCATGGTGAGCAAGTTCATATAGTTCTAACGTGATACAATATTGCTAGAGAATATTTAATCAAATAGAATACTCTTAGAATTTATGCCAACGCTAGAGGGGGTGTGAATAGTAAGGGACGATTAGAAATTTTCCCAAAGATAATAAAATCGTTGGAAGCATAGGTGCGAAAATAAAGCAGTGAAGTAAAAGAGCTTAAGGTAAAGAAAGGATTGAACACACTGATGTATACAAGTTCAACACAACTTGTGGCTAGTCCAGTCCTCAAGAGACTCTCTCGATATATCTACTAACCTCGTTAAGTTCACAGGAACCGTTACAACTTGAGAACCTGAGTTACATGAGTCTCAAAAACAACCAAAGGAATGTATCCTTCTTTTGAACAACCAAGGGAACAAACCTCCTTTGTAGTCTAGCAACACTAGGCACTCAAGAACAATTAACTCTCTTAAAGAGTAGAATGTGAGTATACTAGCTTAAGCACAAGAGTAGACTTTCCTTTTTGAGTTATCACATACCATCTGTTGCGACTCCTTGAATCGCAACTCGTGATGTGATGCTGCACCAGTAGGAGGTTTTTTGTTTTTTAAGAAACTTTGACTGCTTCTTGAAATTTAATGAAATTTTGGCATTGATGTGCATGACCAGACGATTAGTGGCTGGGTGACTAAGAAGTCGTGCTTATGAAACCTCCCGGACAGCTATGTTAGAGAGGACCAGATCAAAGCAAAGTAGATTATTTATTGTTGTGAACTGTTACAGGATTCATTGTGTTCTCTAATATTAATAGAGAACAAACCAACACAACTTTTACTTACCAACACAAGTACACAACTATTACAAACCAACACACCTATTAACATTAGAAACTACCCATAACTGCTTTTAGAAACTGCCCAACTTTTTTTTTTATAAAATTTAATGAAATATGTAAAACAAACTAACCCACACCATACTAACTGACCCGAACATTGACTTATTACTCTTTTGGTTATACGTGAACAAACCCGATTAAATCTAACAAACTAGTTGCAACTAGTTGTGGACTAGGCGACGGCTTAACAACACAGGAACGAACCAAGCATATCCAATATTGAAGTTGATTGTCATTTTGATTTATTTCTACAAGGGTTGTAAAGATGGGTGAATAGTTGAGAGACGTTTGTTTTTTACAAAAAAGCATTGAATGGGTCTCGGGTTACTCATGTAACAACTAACAACTTGGACATGTTCATTATCTATGCTCTAACATTAGGAGTGTAATGGTAAGTAGATATTGTGCATATCATAGGGATTTGATTAGTACTCTCTCCGTCCTATGATAAACTTTTATGGTTTGACTTCATGGAGTTTAAGTGAAGTGTTGAAACGTGAAGAGTGTGTGGTTAGAATTTTCTTAGAAGAAAGAGAAATAGTGAGTCACATATTCTTTTCCTTAGATTCTCAAGCTTATGATGCAAAATTAAAATCAGACCACATGCCGTATTTGATTAAACTTTATGTCAATACGACAAGGTAAGAGATAGTACTCTTCAGATACATGATTCTCAAACTCCTATAAAAATGCATTCAGGTTATCAGACTCATTGTTCTGATATAAAATTAAAATCATAACATACCATGGCTATCAGAATCTGTGTCATTGTAACTGTTTCATAAAAGATGGTACTGTTCGGGTTCAGATGCTTCTTTATTTTATCTTGAATTTATGCAAGGTAAATCAATAAAATGCTACAGTGGAATAGTCAAATGTACACAAATGCTTGATATTGGGCAATGGACATAAAGCTGCAGGAAAGAATAGCTTTTAGCATTTATTTGGTCAGGACACAGGCTGTGATATCCATATTCAGAATATCATATAAAAAATGGATGACCATTAACTCCTATATCACTGTAATAGTAATAGCTGTGGAAATTTATGGCTCTCCCCATCGGGGGCGGAGGGAGGCTCTTATGTTCCTTTCATGTAGCCATGTTTTAAAATTTACTATTTCACATGGTTTCAAATTATGCTGATAGCAATTGAACCCTCTGATTATATCTCCAAGGCCCATGATGGTGGTGTTATTGCTGTGGAGCTTTTTAGGGTGATGGGCAGTGCCCCCCAACTCATTACAATTGGAGCTGATAAATTTTTAACAATATGGGATACAATTGCATTTAAGGTAGTGTATCTTATCACGCCTCTTTGCAATGTTGTGTTATGCTTTATGTGTGTGTGGTGTAGCATTGGCTTCACACTCTGTCTGAACTATGTTGTATGCAGGAAGTACGTAAAATGAAACCGGGTTCAAAAATGACTTGCCATAGTGTGGCATCTTGGTGCCACCCTCGTGCTCCAAACCTTGATATCTTGACATGTGTTAAAGATTCCCATATTTTGTATGCATTTCTTCCTCCTGAAGCTGCTTACATATGAAATAAGAATCTTAGTATTTCTTTTGTATGTGTGTAAACTGACGGAGAAATAAGTGCTTGTAACATTTGGCTATTGTTAATATACATTATGTTTAAGGAATATCCCTTTTTCAGGTGAACATAACACATTGAACTTTTGCAGGGCTATTGAACACCCCACTTATTCAGCTCTTACAAGGACTTTATGTGATCTGTCTTCACTAGTCTCCCCTCAACTACTTGCTTCACACAAGAAGCTCAGAGTATGATTGTTATTTTTCATGGAATAGCCTTTTTACGTGCTGCTAGTTTGGGGTGACCTGAAAAATCTTGTATCTAAGTATTGTCTTCTACACAAATCCATTTCATAATTCAGTCTTTTGAATTTTTGAATCTAATTTCATCTTGAAATATTAGAAGAACCTTTACTAACCATACTTGATTTGATGAATCATTGTACTATCGGATAGGTGTAAGTTTTTTTTTAAATATAAAATTGTCACTGATGAACATACCTAGAGGAATGCATATTAGTCAATTTCTTGATTACATGTAACTGAATGTCCTTGGAGAGAAAAATGCTTCAAATTCATTTTTGCAGTTATAATTGAGGGAAGCCTCATCTCTTTGTGCTTTCCACAATAACTTCTTAATCTCTGGATTTCATATATATTCCCAAAGGAATTTTTCTATTCACTCTAAAATGAGTTCTAGCACCTGAAAATGACTAGCTGGGGCAATTGTCAGAAGCATTTCCCCTTCCCTTCCAAAAGCTTTTGATAATATCTCATAATGTGTTCTTTTATTTGCTATCGTAGGTATACTCTATGGTTGCACATCCTCTACAGCCTCATCTTGTTGCAACTGGAACTAATGTAGGTGTTATTTTGTGTGAATTTGATGGCCGATCTCTTCCACCTGTTGCTCCACTGCCAACACCTCCAGGCAGTCGTGAACATACAGCTATTTATGTAGTTGAGAGGGAGTTGAAGTTTCTGCAATTCCAGTTGTCTAACACTGCCAGTCCAGCCCTTGGAAGCAATGGATCCTTGAGTGACACAGGAAGGTTCAGAGTAGACACTCCTGAACAACTCTTTGTTAAGCAAACTAAGAAGCATATTACCACTCCTGTTCCACATGATTCATACTCTGTTCTTTCTGTAAGCAGTTCAGGAAAGTGAGTACTCATGCCTAGCGTATCTTTGATAGCATAATACAACTTTTTAGCCCTTGTATGGTTGCATGGCATTTATTACTAGATATTTTTGACGAGCTGTGATTTTAATGACCACATCATTGCAGGTATGTGGCAATTGTATGGCCTGATATACCTTACTTTTCAGTTTACAAGGTGAGTGATTGGGCAATAGTTGATTCTGGCAGTGCAAGACTATTGGCATGGGACATTTGTAGGGATAGATTCGCTTTGCTAGAATCTGCACTACCCCCAAGGATGCCTATAATTTCCAAAGGCAGCTCATCTAAAAAAGCAAAGGAAGCTGCTGCTGCTGCAGCACAAGCTGCAGCTGCTTCTGCCGCTTCATCTGCGACTATCCAAGCCCGTATCTTACTGGATGATGGGACATCAAATGTGCTCATGAGGTCCGTGGGCACCCGCAGTGAACCAGTTATTAATTTGCATGGTGGTGCACTACTTGGTGTTGCCTATCGAACTTCTCGGAGAATTAGTCCTGCTGCAGCTACAGCAATATCAACTATTCAGGCCATGCCGTTGTCAGGCTTTGGGAATGGTGCTGGTTCTTCTTTTAACACTTTTGATGATGGATTTTCTTCGCAACGAAATTCAACCGAAGCACCTGCACAGAACTTCCAACTGTACAGCTGGGAAACATTTGAGCCAGTAGGTGATCTTCTTCCTCAACCTGATTGGACAGCATGGGACCAAACAGTGGAGTATTGTGCATTTGCCTATCCTCAACACATTGTCATCTCTTCATTGCGTCCCCAGTTCCGGTGCCTGGGAGATGTGGCAATTCCATATGCTACTGGGGCTGTTTGGCAACGGAGGCAGTTATTTGTTGCTACACCCACTACTATTGAGTGTGTGTTTGTTGATGCTGGTGTCGCTGTTATTGACATAGAAACAAAACGCAGAAAGGAAGAGATAAGACTGAAAGAAGCACAAGCACGAGCTGTTACCGAGCATGGAGAGTTAGCATTGATAACAGTTGACAGCAAGCAAACGGCTGCTAATGAGAGGATTGCATTAAGACCCCCTATGCTACAGGTTGTCCGATTAGCGTCTTTTCAGAATTCACTCTCTGTACCCCCATTCTTGAGTTTGCCTAAGCAACCCAAGGCTGAAAGTGATGACTCAGGGATGCTTAAAGATACTGAAGAGAGGAGAGTTAGTGAGGTTGCTGTTGGTGGGGGCGGAGTTGCGGTTGCTGTCACTCGTTTTCCAGCAGAGCAGAAAAGACCAGTTGGACCTCTTGTCATCGTGGGTGTTAGGGATGGTGTTTTGTGGCTAGTTGATAGATATATGTGCGCACATGCTATATCCCTCAGCCATCCCGGCGTTCGTTGTCGCTGTCTAGCAGCTTATGGGGATGCTGTTAGTGCAGTGAAATGGGCAATTGGACTTGGTAGGGAGCATCATGATGACCTGGCACAATTTATGCTCAGGATGGGTTATGCTACTGAAGCACTTCACTTGCCTGGTATATCTAAAAAGTTGGAGTTTGATTTGGCCATGCAGAGCAACGATTTAAGAAGAGCACTTCAGTGTCTTCTAACAATGAGCAACAGCAGGGATATCGGTCAAGAAGCTCTTGGTTTGGATCTGAGAGACATAATGAGTTTGACAGAAAAGAAGGAAAATGTTGTGGAAGCTGTTCAAGGAATTGTGAAATTTGCAAAGGAGTTCATGGACCTTATCGATGCTGCAGATGCCACTGGGCAGTCCGACATTGCTCGTGAAGCTCTTAAAAGATTAGCAGCTGCAGGTGCAGTGAAGGGAGCTTTACAAGGTCAGGAGTTACGAGGGGTCGCTTTGAGGCTAGCTAATCACGGAGAGTTGACACGACTTGCTGTGTGTAAAACATTCTCGTCTTTTTTTTGTCATATTGTAGTATTGTACTCTCTTTTTCTTCTATACACCACAAAGATAGATGGTGAAATTAAATAATATCTTGGAACATATGGAGGTCCCTCTGAAGTCATCTTATTGAGAATATGATCTTTTGCAGAATTTGGTTAACAACCTGATATCAGTTGGTTCTGGACGAGAAGCGGCATTTGGGGCTGCACTTTTGGGTGACAATGGACTTATGGAGAAAGCATGGGAGGAAACAGGGATGCTTGCAGAGGCTGTTCTTCATGCTCATGTATTTTATACCACCCAACTTTTAATGCTTTAGTAGCTTCTTTAGCATTGATGTTGGTTTGTTAATGGCGCCCCAAATTTAATTGTGCATCTGGACTCTTCGGAGCTGTTAGTGCTAATATAATTAAATCTCTTTGTCCTTAGGCTCACGGGCGACCTTCATTGAGATCCTTAGTGCAATTATGGAACAAAATGTTACAAAAAGAAATGGAGTGTATCTCTTCAACAAAAACCGATGCTGCTGCTGCTTTCTTGGCCTCCCTTGAGGAACCCAAGTTGACAAGTTTGGCAGATGCGGCCAAAAAGCCCCCCATTGAAATTCTACCTCCTGGGATGGCATCACTCTATGGTCCAAATCTTAGTCAAACAAATCGACCCAGCAAGCAGCAGCAAGGGGTACTTCAGAAATCAGATGCACCAATGTTATTAGAAGGTTCAAAAACACCACCACCAAATCCAACAGTTCCTCCGGCTTCAGAATCGGGTGTTCCACCTAACCCCGAACCAGAGACTGCATCATTGCCAGCTCCGGAAGTTCCGCCACAAGAATCTGTGTCACCACCACCACCTCCACAAGGCTCTTCTGGTCCACAACCATCGGAGGAACCAATTGATGCTGCCTTGCAATCAGTCTCACATGCAACTGCAGAAATGAACCAAAAAGAAGATTATGATAATAATCATCGGGATTTTGCCACATCACCATCGGATACTTCTGCTCCCGCAACTGCAACTGGACAGAATGTCCCATCAACATCTGCTGATACGGTTTCATCCTCAGTTGAGGTTGTGGCCACCCATCAGCAGACTGATAACAGCAAGGTTAGGGACTTTCTAAATGAGCTACAAATGATTGATTTTTCTTGACATGCCACCCGGCGGCCTCCACTCTTTATTGATTGTTTACATTCATATTTTCATATATTGAGGCCAGCACACCGGTTTAGGATACGAATTGTGCTTGCACATTCAAGTTGTGCTTGTTTATTGGCTAGCCTAAAGCAGCATTCTTTTTTTTGTACTTCTGGTGTGCGTGTGATGCAATTATTTGTACATTTGTAATTTCTATCACCGGCATTTGAGGGTTATATGTATTATTCAACTGCTTGTTTTCCCAACACATGAGCCCTTTATGTGGTTAAATAATATCTATTTGGCTTTTCCTTTCTGTGGGGAAAAATAGTCTACATTACATGCTTAGAATGAATGTGAACGTGGCTCATATTTTGGAAGTTGAGTTGACTCAATTTATTATCGAATTTAACTCATGTAAAAATACTGTTATCTGTTGTTTTATAAAATTGATGTAGTTTTAAAATACCCTGGAGTATAAAGAGTTTTGCTTACAAATTTGTACCATTATTTAAAGAAATTGAATTTAAAGAAACTGAATTAAAAATAAATTTAGTCAATCATTGTAATCGTTTTTTTACATTAGTTGTGAGATAGAGCGAGTATTGGATTATCTGAGCATGTTATGTAGAAAAACTACATAAACGCCCTGGGTATCTTTCAAAAAGAAATAAGAAAAAAAAGAGAGAAGAACGCCCTAGGTATTATTAGCAAGCTTGTTAATGTTATGTTTACTACCAGGGTATTTGCGCAAATTGTACCGTACATCTGGCTGTACGGGGAGAACCGTACAGCCAGCAATTAATTAGGGCGAAAAGGGGCCTGCTGCAAGAACGGCCGAATGGATCGGTCACGAAGGAGGCTGCGCGATGGATTCCCGATCGGCGATTCTCGATGAAGGAGGCTGCGCGGTGATGAAGATGGAGGTTGTTGATGAAGGTCTTCCGCGGAGGTTGTTGATGAAGATGGAGGTCGTTGGATTCCCGATCAATTCTACTTCCAGTTGCTAGCGATGGTCTTCTGCGCTTCAGGCTTCACTTACCAGATTTCAACATATGATTATATGAATGGTAGGTTGTTTAAGATTGAGTACTAGGTTATATGGAAATGAGTACTACTGTCTTTTAGAATGAATATTATGTTATTCGTAAATGAATATTGAACAAATTTGTGAAAGTGAGTACGACGTTATTTTTGAATGAGTACTGCGTTATTTCAGAATGAGTACCACGTTTTTCAAATGAACCATTATGCTTGTGCGACAATGGGTACATCTGGATGTATCATATACCAACTCGGGTATTTGTAGTTTGGACTGACATGCTATGGTCTTTTTTACGCTATTACTTACTCTGTGAGACAATGGATGCTATTGTTATTATTACTATTTCGATAACTTTCGTATGTTTGTATATTTTCATTGATCATTTGATCAAATAAAATATTTTCGTTGCCTCTTGTTTTGTAAAACTTTTGATATACTTTTAATCAGAGTAATTTGTACTTCTTCTGTCCTAAATTAAGTTACATTTTTACTATTCACATAGTTAAATTTCATTTTTTTTTCCTATTTTCGTTACTCATTCAATAAAATAATAGTCATGTCACCTTTTGCTTCGTAGAGCTTTGACGTAGACCTTTAATATGCAAAGTTTATTTTTTAATTTTTGCTCTAATTTTATAATAAATTGCATTGAAAATAATTTTAGTCAAACATCATAAATCGAAACATGTAATTTAAATTGAGGCGGCGGGAGTTTTTATTTCTGTTACAATTTTTGATTAAAATGATTTCAAAAGTGATGAAAATTGTATGTAATGCGGAGCATGACATTCATTTCGAAACGGAGGTGGTATATATATATATATATATATATATATATATATATATATATATATATATATATATATATATATATATATATATATATATATATCCTATACCTGAACTATTTATTTTATTTCTTCAAGAAGCAGTGAGTACATTAATTCCCTTTGCACAATTCGAATCGAGAGGACTTTGAAACTCGCGATAACCTTCACTTAATTATAAAAATTAGCTAATTTCCTTCCTCCACTACTCGAGAGACACAAAACTTGGAGAAGATTGACCCTTTTAGGAAGGTTGATGACTCTTAAAAACTTATCCGCCATTGACAAAACATTTAAGTGTTTTAATTAATGAGAGAGATAATTAATGAGAGAGAGTGTGTGTAAGGAGTGAAAGAGTGAGAGATAATCTAGTTATAGAATTTATTGTAATTGGATGAAATTAGGATAAATCTAGCCATTCCGTACAATTCATCATATAATCCTTTCGTTTTAAAAAGAATATCACACTTCACTATCTAAAAATTACGAAAATTTTGTTTGTTTGTGCGTTATCATTTATATGTATAACTTATTTTCAATTTCTAAATATAATAAATTCAAGGCATGAAATTTTGTACTTTTTTAAAGATGATAATCCATTTTATGAGGGATGAGCAAACAATGTAATTAGTTCAAATGGTAGAATAAAAGTAAAAATTTTAAAATATAATATGCTTATTGAAAGGCAAACACGGTTCCAAATTTATCGGTTTTAGTTCTAATCAGGTTCGGATATTATCGGTTTCGGGTTTCATAGGTTTCGGGTATTATCGGTTTTGGATCTAATCGGTTTCGGGTTTAATCGGTTCGGATATTATCGATTTCGAATCTAATCGGTTTCAGATTTAAATTGGATATCAAATATTTAGTTCGGTTTCGGTTCGATTCGGATCCTTTCAGGTTTTCGGTTATAGATTGGATCTTCATTTTTCGGATCATTTCAGTTTCGGTTTTGGATATTTCAGTTCGGGTAATCGGTTCCGGTTCTATTTTGTCAGGCCTAGCCATTGCCCTTCCGTTTTTTTCGTTTAATTTTTTTTCCTTGATTTTCATCAGTTTATTCTTTTGCAGTTGTTGTTTTCTTTTTTCGTTTCATTTTGTTTTTTTTCTGTTAATTTTTAGTTATGTTTTGATGTTATTTTTTTGATGTTGTTTTATTCTTATGCTCTTTTTTGTATTTTATTTTCCCATTTTTTCTTTTTCCATGTTTTTTTCTGCTTATTTTTTGATGTTTTTTTGCTGTTCTTTTTTTTTTGTGGTTTTTTGCTTTTTTTCACATATCCTGTTTTTTTTGTAATTAGAGTATTATTGAATTTTATGTCAAACGTTAATTATGATTCAACAAAAGTCACTTAGTTATTATTTATATAGACCTAAATACAACAAACTAATAAACTACAAAACAGGCACAAGTATATTTAAATACTTTTATTGTTTTACCTATCTTATATTACTTAATAATTATTCAAACACATTTTTTCAACTTATTACATTACTTTACCTCCCTC